TTCAGTTGATGTCAATAGGGAATGAACAGACTTTTACAGTTATGGACGAGCATGGGCTCAAGAGGGGTTTACTGATTTCGTGGTAGTTGTACCCTGTGCAACGTCGTTGGGTGATGTCAGTAGGGAATTCCACATGTGGGCTATCTCCTGTGAGAAGGTTAGCGGTTGCGTGATTTTGATGAAGTTTCTATGAAGAGTTCTACTTACTATCCAGCGGAAGGTCGAACATGCAATTATGGATGATAACTTGGGATGTTTTATGGAAAGTTTAACAGGAGGTTTCGATAATTTTGCGGGTTAACGGTAAGAGATCATGGTGATTGAGAAGGATGAATCTTTATGAGTTCTAGATCTATGTGATTGTATCTTAAAGCTAAGTGGGGGAGCCCACCGTCTACGATTGGATCGCGTGGTTGTCTGCTTGTGCAGCTTCTGGTTATCGGTGCATTGCTGGATTATTTATGACTAAGAAAAGAAAACATTAGGGTAATTCGAGCAAAGGATTTGATGAATGTGTGCTATATTTCGCCTTATCAATTCATGCGCAGATGTTGAGGAGACTCAGAGTTTATGCTTCTGGTAGATGTGATGTATAAGAAAAAAGATAATTCATACGGTTGCTTCTTTGGGAGTGTTCATGTATTGACAGTGCAATAGAGTTTGGCTTATATTAGGGATCAAGTTAGAGTGGGTGACTCTCAATAGTGGTTCTAATGGGTTCGTTATGTGGCCGGAGATAGGGATTTTGCAGCAGAGTGTGAAGAATACTAGGGAGTTTTCTATGTTATCATCGGGTCTGCGGGTAGTATTGGAAAAATGGGAGAAACAATTTCGAATTCGCGGAAGGCCTTTCAGAATGGGTGTACCGGTTGGAGATACTATTGTGCGCATGAGGAAGGTATGAGATGGTTCGTGGGTATTGAGACGATGTGGTCGCGTGAAGTGGGTCACTCAAGAGGAGTGTTGTTGAGTTTCGTTATGATTCTTGAATGGTGCTACTATTTTTTCTAAGGCAAGTCAAGAGTGAATTGGAAGAAGTTGGTTTGGTTAGTAATGGTTGAATCAGCATGATTATGGCAATGATCAGTTCCTTCGGCATGTGAAGTTATACATGTGGTTTGTGGTTGTATGTGCGAGCTCGACATCCACCATAACTTGATTGATTTGGGAGGTATTTGATTCAAATAGCCTTGTGGTGTAAATGGATTCCAGAAGAGTCATGGCAGTTATATCACGACTTGAGATTTATATTTTCTGCGGTTTAGGAATTCCGTTACGTGTTGCATTGGTTCTTCTTAAATGAGCTAAGTTAAAGGTTTCTAGCCAATGAAGTGTTTATTCTACTAGTAGTTAAGGGGTTATGATAAATTCTTGTATTCTCGCGTAACGGCATGCTAGGTGCAGTGAGCGGCATGGGAATTTGAAAGTTGAGGATCAAGGTTGCGGTTCGATGTTGACAAGAATGTCACAAGCTCGGATGAGCAGGGGAGAATTAAGATGTTCAGAGTAAGCTGGCATTTTCTTTAGCGTCACTTGAGAACGGCGTTCTGTGATGAGGCTTGGTGTATTGATTTGCGAATTCTTGATTTGCTTTACAAAATTAGTATGGTTGGTGGTATGGATGTGCGAACTTTTGTACCTAGGCGGAAGGTCGTGGGAGCGTACCCACGGGGAGATTTGTATAAGTGTGACATGTTAGTCACTTGATTGTTAAATATTGAAACCAAGTATGGGATTTTTGGTACTATCGTTAATGTGAGAGTCTATGCCTGGAAGGCGCTCTATTCCTTTGGTTGTGAACTATGAGAGTTTGGTTCGGAGTGGGCGGTTGCTCGTGTGTGTCATGAATGGAGCCATTGTGGATCCTTGGAAGGTTATTGGCCCAGTATGGTATGATCAGAATCGGTTTGAGGTTCGTTGGTGGGTATAATGTAAATGTGTTCATTCAACATAACATTTCTTACGGAGGAGTCATCGGGCATTGGATGTTATTTCCATCGTCAGCTATTCCGTATAATCTATATTGTGCCACGTGGGTCGTGAGACGACTTGATTATCCGCACATGTGTTGAGGTCCCGTGTAGCTTGAGGTGTTATATAAGCAGGATGGCTCTCGAGATGCAGGTCATTTATCGCACCTTAGTTGTTCTTGGGTTTCGTAGCGTATGGCGCTATCCGTCTTCCTAGGATTTGTATTATGCACTTGGCGTGCTTGTGGTCGATATTCGAGCATTTCGTAAGTATAAGCATTACGGCTTGATGTGTTTTTTCTTTTTAATTATTATGTGCGGATCGGGTGGCACCCCGCCACGGGTATATTATTGGATCGGGTTGCACGCCGCAATATTTTCATGTTTGGATCGGGTTGCATGTCGCAACAGAGTCATGTTGGATCGGGTTGCACGCCGCAACAGTGAGATGTTGAGTACGATTCCCTATATCTATTCTTGTGTATTTTATTTCTCATTCTCTGAGAAGGGTTCATAGCGTCTGTTCGACTGTCTTATTCGTTACGCGAGCTGGGAAGTTCCTTTCCAGAGTTCGTTTTTCCTTATGTATCATATTCGAGTTGTAGCTTGTTGGCACATCGATGGCGTCATATGGAATCTTGGGCAGTGTTTGAGGTGGCTTATTGCCTTGCAGCTTGTACTGGGTGAGACGAGATTATTGGGGCTAAAATCAGTGCAATGAGATCCATATAAAATATATTAAAGAACAAATATCGTTATTCAATACAGAATGAGGTAATGGTTCCTGTCAGGAGGAGAGACTCCACGATTTGTTGATTCGCTAGGTGGTTATAAGCTTCTACATATCTTTTCCGTTGTGGCAGTATTGTGAGAGTTGGAACAAGGCTTATATGTGTTATGAGGTATACTACGGACTTCGGGTCAGTAAAATTTCAACGGTTGTGCTTGGAGAAGGTTGCCTTGAGCAAATGAGTTATGCGGTGCATGATGCGAGGTCACCATGGATGCATGATCGTGTTTTGGTATAGTGTGTAGTGGTTGAAACAATGTTCGTATGTTAGAATCGGGTCTGGTAGAGTAATTCGTATGTTAAAAGGGAGGATCTTCAGTCTGACTCAAACTAATGTGTTCAACTGGATTGTGGTGGCATAGGTAGGTGCACAAGGTGTTAAACAGTGATTTTGGACAACTCCGGAGCAGTCTTTAGCACGTTCGAGGACGAAGGTATGTTTAAGTGGGGGAGAATATAATGACCCGACCAGTCATTTTGAGCTCTAGCGCGTCGTCCAGCGGTTTGAGGTCTTGAGTAACTTCACTTCAGGTATTATGACTTGTATGTGTGGTCGGAATTGAATTTCGGAAAGTTCGGAATTGATTTGGAAAGAAAATTCTAATTTCGGAAGCTTTAAGTTGGAAGAATTGACTAAGGTTTGACTTTTGAGTAAACAACCTCGGAATCAGGATTTGAAAATTCCAATACGTTCGTATGATGATTTCGGACTTGAGCTTATGTTCGGGTTGAGTATCGGATCAGCCGGGAGCATTTAGGTGCTTATTATGGAAGATTGGTATTTTGAAGGTTTAAGAATTTCTTAAGTTTGATTTGAAGTGAACTTTGATGTTATCGATGTCCGTTTGAGGTTCCAAGCCTTGGAATAGGTTCGTATTATGATTTATGACTTGTACGCAAAGTTTGGCGTCATTCCGGAATATTATGGTATGGTTTGGACGCGTTCGTCGAAGTTTGAAAGTTGAAGAAGGATTGCGATTGTCGATTCGTAGTTTCGATATTGTTTTGCGTGATTTGAGGCCTCGACTAAGTTTGTAATGTGTGTCGCACCCCATTTTCTCGCGAAAGCGGGCTTCGACATGTGACAACTCTTTTAAATGGGTATTAAAAGAGAAGAGTCACCACCTAACGTTTTTAAGGTGCGTTAGAGCACATATTTGTAAATAACTGTGTTTTAACTAGTCCGTGTCACCAAAGATTAGGTAAGGGTTCAAATTACTTCAAAGAGAAGGTGTTAGGTACTCTTCGAGATCCACAAATGTAGTTCCTGGCCGAATTTTAAACTATGTGGGATTATTGGGTTAAACTAGGTTGTAGGTTGCTGAGTTGTTAATTAATGTTAGGTGGTCAAGCTGGGGGGGTGGGGTTTAAGTTTTTAAGCTTAATGGATCAACTCCCGTGCAAAGTCTACTAAGACTTTTATAACCAAAAGTGCAATGGCTATTCGGGCAATTTGTGTATCATGTCCGCTACCCCTATTACTATCTTTAAGTTGTTACCTAAAGTGCACTAGTCATTTCTATATCGTGCCTTAATAAGCCTACCTGTCCCATTCCTATAATCCAGGAAGCATTGGACACTATCTAAAAGAAGTTCTAGACTCAAATAAAGCTAAGGTTACTACTTTTGATTTAGCTAAGCGTCACATAAGGCAAATAGGTAAAGAATCGACCATATAACATATAAGGCAAGAAATGACTCATGTTGGCCTCTGAATTAATTAAGTTGAGAGATGATAATTAAAGTAGTGAAATGAGCTCTTATAATAACTTTCTTGAATTGATACTACGCAACTCAAGTATAAGCATACAAGAATGAACATAATTATAAAATTACTAAAAATGTCGAATAGAAGAAAAAGTAGTTTGGATTAAAGTATAAAGTTACGTACTCTTTTATGTAAAGGTAGATAAAAAGAGGAATTGAAATAAGATACATGATTTGAAAATCGTATGCGAGAAAACTTACTTGTATACAAAGATTGTTACTAGCCCCCCAAGCCTTTAATAAATAAATAAAAATATTACAGGAAGGCTATACTTACTTAACAGTTATTGTTTTCATGAAATGAATCAAGAGTATTTTTTGTAAAACTAGTTTGACGACAGGTTTAAAACAATTAGCAATCTCCACTGTTAAAAGGAAATTGAATGCATTAAAAATCATTATTATCAGCATAATAACACAAACAGAAAATAACTTCTCCCTGTTACATAAATTCTATAAGCATGGTAATAATATTGAAAATGAAAGCATGACTTCAATGATTAGTAAAAATAGAAACAAACCACGATAGCAAATAGCACATAGCAGCAACAAGTGACAAACAAGTTCCAGCCCCTATCAACCCTTTTTTTGTAGCATTACAAGACCAACATTACAACACAAGCTAAACTAATGAGCTTCAGTCGCCAAGTAAATTCCAACACAATAATCCTTTTAAACTTTCCCCTTCCCAGGCAACTCCAAATTCTCTCCCAATGCTCGAATTAGGCCATCCTTCAAGTAATTGGTTTAAACTGTTTGCAGTTTAGTCATGTAAATAACCTGTTGAGAAATACGACTCGATAGTCTGTAACACAAACAAAATCGTTGACTTCTCTTACTATTAGTTACTAAATTAAATAGAGTATCTCTAGTGTTCAAATCAGATAAACAATTATTCAAATTAAATAAAGGGCAAGCATTATGGGATAGCAAGTTATCTGGATGTTTTATCCATAGACTGGATATCTAGATGAATTAAAATCCTAAGGACATGGTCTCTATGTGTTTGCGAACATCCTGGAAGTAATGGTATAGCCAACAAAGCAAACAAATATAACTCTTAGCTTTCCGACATACTATCCACAACTGGACATGTATGTCATTTAATCCTAAACATGGTGTCTAAGTGACAAAACAAGTGCATTGATTTCGGCAAGGTAGTTTTAAACATATAAGACCGGCAAACAACCTTAAGGTTTAACGGATGAAGTTTTAACAATCCAATGTCGCCTTTTATTAACTAAGAAATACTTACTGAAATGATATCCATGCAACATGAATTCAGCTATATTCAAAGAGTGACGATCATGGAACTTACAAATATCATTCGAAGTCTTTTAGGCAGAATTCCTAAACTAAATCGAAGATAAGTTGATGCTACTCTTATTTATCCAATCTTTAATCCTAATTACAAGAAATGATTTCCTGGTTACCAGAATGCCAGAACAAATCCTAAAGACCTTTATAGTTAGGTTGTCTCATATTCAAAACATCACACGCAAAGTCAAAAGATCAAAAACACACCTGGATTTGAGAGGCGTACCTGGTTATTATATGGGCATAATTTCAATAGAGTGCCGCATGGCACTCGGCATGGCCAAGAAAATACAGAACACACAAATAGAGTAAAGAAAACAAAAGCTGAAGAGGAGGACTAGTCTATTCTAACAATAACTAACACGTAAAGGAATCACTAATGCGTCGTTCAGGAAACTAACCTGTTCGAAAGCGGAACAACAATATAATAAGAAGATTAGAAATCCAGTAACTTCAATAACAACAAATAAGCCCAAATACTCTCCGGAGTGTGCATAATGAAGAACCAATACTCGAACTCGATACGTCCAGGTTGTATCAAACGAATATCAAAACTAGAACTTTGTATTTGGACAAATATAAAGATTAAAGCTCTGCCTCGATTTGTACTCGGAAGAACAGAGGAGCAATAAAAGTAAAAGAATAGCTATAGTAGTAGTGAAAACCATCCTCCTTAAGTGCATAGAACTAGTCAGTATTTATAATAGCGAATTAGCCTTAGGGCGTGTCACTATAATGGAAAAGATTCATAAAACTAGATATCAAATAAAGAAAGGTTCAGATTTTTTTTAAAAATATCAAAATTCCCGTTAAGCAAGGATTCGGGGACTGAAGCGAAATTGGAGTATTCGAACTAAAAAATGAACCGTTGGTGATTAATTTTGGCAGAAAAAGATTATGATTATGGGAAAACTTCGCTTTACATAATCGAAAAAATCAGAAGAAAATATTGATAATTCAATTTTCAAAACTCAATCCAATCGATAAGAGAAAATGAAAAATAGGTGAAGTGCTTGCCTCAAAACCTGTCCATATTCATCTAACTAATTTGAACATGCGGATGCCGATATGGAAAGAAAAGCATGCAAACCTTCACTCACGACAGGGATTTAGACCAAAACTGAAACTAAAATCTCGGTTCTCAATCACAATTTCTTTACAGATTTGAAGAGGAAAAGAATTGAGGAAAGAAAGTTAAAAAGAATATTTTAAAAAAGGAAACAAATCAAAGAATTGGGGAAAGGTGTTGGCGAGTTGCTGGCGAAATCGTAGGGGAAGACGATGGTTGCATTTTGGGATTTTTTAGGAAAAGGAAAAGTTAACTGTTTGAAGGCTAAAGGTTATTAGGGGAATTGGGCTTTGCCGCTTTGGATGTTTGCTGGCAAGGTGAATTTGATTGGGTCTGGGGTTCTAATTGGGTTGGGATTTGATGGTGGAGTGGGTTTTGGGCTTAATTGATTTTTGGATTAGGTGTGAGATTGATAATTGAGATACTATTAAATTAAAATGTCATAGTAATGATAATTAATAAATAAAAAATGAGATACAAGAGGTTGAAAAATAAATATTATATTATATTATATTATATAAACAGTTGAACAAGCTAAAAATAAATTGTAAATATTTATATTTTTGAAAGTTGCTAATACTTAGTAAAACTATTTATAATAATAAAGTTGTAGCACTTATAATAATACATAAAAATGCTACAAATATTATTATAACTCTTAAATAGAATAGTATCTCATTAGAATAATATGGAGTAAAGATGGACAAAATTGGATGTCAACAATGTGTTTTGGGACGCGTTGGTATATTTGGTCAAGGTCCCGGGGGCCTCGGGTGGATTTCGGATGGTTAACGGATCGAATTTTGGACTTAAGAAAAACCTGGAGGATTCTGGTTGCTGGTGCAACTGCTTCTGCTGAAGCTTCATCGCAGAAGCGGCCACGCAGAAGCGAGGCAGTGGACCGCAGAAGCGGCTAGAAAGGAGTTGGGTAGAGGCCGCAGATGCGAAGGAATTCCCGTACTTGCGTGACCGCAGAAGCGACCCAAGGGTTGTAGAAGCGGTAGGGAGTGAGCTAGATTGGAGGCGCAGGTACGAGGTTTGTACCGCACCTGTGAGACCGCAAAGGTGGATCCCTGGTCGCCGATGCGACTCCGCAGAAGCGGAGTCTGGTCCGCAGATGCAAAGGTAGGAGGGCTGAAGGGGGACTGCAGAAGCGGTATTTTTGGCCGCACTTGAGGAACCGCAGAAGCGATCAAGTGGTCGCAGGTGAGATGAACGCCAGGCAGAGGGCTTGGCTTTATACGGGATTTTGGCCCATTTTCTTTCATTTTTACTTCATTAGGGTGATTTTGGAGAGTTTCAAGGGGAAATTTTCATCATCTATTGCAAGGTATGCTATTCCCGCCTATTGTGAGTTAAATACTTAGATTATGTACGGAATTTTACATGGGAATTAGTAGAAAATTGGGGTTTTGGTAGAAAACCTGAAAAATTAGTATTTTTAGATTTTGACCACAAAATTGGACATATAATTTGGAATAAGTTATATATTTGAATTCATGGTATTATGGGTAAAGTTTATCTTCGAAAATATTTGAAATCCGGGCACGTGGGCCTGAGGGTTGTCTTTTTTGGCTCTTTGAACGGAGTTGGGAATCATTATAAATTGTTAAATTATACGTATTGGGGTATATTTTAATTGGTTTGCACGTTGTTTGACTAGTCTTGGAATGATGGCCATCGGTTTGAGGTATTAGAGAGATGTTGGAGCCGGTTTTGCAACTTCGGAGCGAGGTAAGTTTCATGTCTAACCTTGTGAGGGGGAAACTACCCCTAGGTGATATTAATTGTTATATGCAACTAGTTGTGGGTGCTATGTACGCATGAGGTGCCAAGAGTCCGTACGTAGCTAAAGTATGTTTATGTCCGAGTAGACTTAGGACTTTATCAGGTAATAATTAAATTATTTAAACTTGTTCTGCTGGCTTAATTAATTAAAGTTATAACTAAAATTAATTTAGAAATAAATATATGTATTGTTACGACCCAATTTTTCCTCCGTTGGGTATCGTGATGACACCTAGTCTTAGGGACTGGGTAAGCCTAACATTTATTAAATAACAACAATAATTAAATAATATCTAATAATCTTTAAAATGGAAACCTCCAAAATAAATTTTTCAATTCCCAAAACCGGTAGTACAAGTCATAAGCTCTACAAAGTGGTTGCTAGAAAACTTCTAAATACAGCTGTCCAGAATTAAGGATAAACTGTGCAAAACGAAAACTTGAAGGTGACTCCGAAACTTGCAAACGCAGCAGCAGGTTTACCTCGAGTCTCCATCGCAACGACCCGCACAACGGCTAACAAACAAATACCTGGATCTGTATAAAACAAATATGCATAAGTGTAGAATGAGCACACCACAACGGTTCCCAGTAAGTATCAAGACTAACCTCGGTAGAGTAGTAACGAGAAACAGTCAAGACACCCACTGGTCTAATAAACTGAACAAGTATAAGTATATGAACAACAGAAATATGATATCTACATAAAGACTATGCAATATGGCTCACAATACAGTAATGGCAATAAGAAAGGAAACAACAAGTATCAGCGGAATACCATAAAAATAACTCAGAAAAGTAAATGGAACACAACCTAAATCCGGAATCACAAACACAACAAGGACAAATAATAACTCAGCAACTACAACCGCTTTTACATCAGGTTTTAGTCATCAAACTCTACGAGGTACCGAACCTCGGACAAATCACAACTCACGGGTCTCAATACTTGAACCCTAACACTTGGCATCATGTGCCCGCATTACACTTCATAACCGCACAAACGACTCACGTGCCAATAGAGCCGTTCTCACATAGAAGGCAAGTAAACAAGGGTGAGCATCTATGCTCAACAATATCAAGAACACCTCTTATCCGATAAGAGTGTTTAACTACGTGTATGCTTGTGCAAGTGTCCTAACATAGTCCATACCAGGAAATAAGCATAAGGAAAAAGAACGGACATCACGTAGAATATTTTCTCACAGCTTTCACAAGATAAAGCTCACACAGGTAAGTGTACCACTACACAAATATCAAAAACAAGAATGCCCCCAGGCCATCACAAATCAATCCCTCTCATAACCCACCTTGTCTCGCCACGTGTGCAATAATAAAGTAAGTGCACACCTTTTCTCGCCACACGTGCATAACAATGTTCCCACCTTGTCTCGCCACATGTGCAACCCACATATATATATCCCGCCTTGTCACGCCGTATGTGAAAATATCAATAGTAACAATAGCACGATAGATACCTCGTGCAACCCCATAACAACAACCGCACGACAGAAACATCGTACATCACAAAAACCACAATCGCATGACAAAAACCTCGTGCATCACCACAATAAGTATAACAGCAACAATGGAAATAATACAAAGTACGACAAGTAAATCAACTCAATAACTTAAAATCACAAGAAACGGTAGAACCAGTTCACAAGGAATAGCCACAGTAAAGAATGCTAGGCGTAAGGAGATCAACTCAACGAGGGAAAACTAATATGTAGCAACGATCCCACAATACACATTTCAACAACATGGAAGCTAACACGAGGCAAATAATTCCAAATAAAACAAGTCGACTAAGATATAGGATATCAAAACTTCTTTTAAGGTTGAGAAATTACGAAGGATATTCAATAATTCAATTTAGGATAAGCAGCGTAAAGGTAATCATAACCTCAATTAAGACTGAATAATTATAGGATGAGATAATAATGATTCCAAATAAAGATAAGCAGATATGAAAAGATAGCATAGCAATAGAAAATGTAAAATCTTCAGTTAAGTCAAATAAGAGTGAATCCTGAAGCAATTAATTCTAATTAAAGCATGTAGAGGTGAAACTAGTAAATATGAACTTAATCATATCAAGAACAACTTCATACTCGGTGAATATAAGGACCTAAGAATCCTAAAAGGCCAACTTTCCACAAATAAGTCCGAGCACGCACTCGTCACCTCGCATACATGGACTACAATCAACATAGAAGACTCAAATCCTAAGGGGAAAATCCCTCACACAAGGTTAGGCAAGATACTTACCGCGAACCAAGCTCAATCAATCGGTCACAATGCCTTTTCCACGAATATCCGACTCTGAATGGCCCAAATCTAGCCAAAACAATTACATATCATAAATACAACTATAATAGGCCAATCTAATTAATGAAATCAAGATTTTAATAAAAATTCCGAAATTCGTCCTAAAAAGTCGACCCGGGCCCACGTCTCGGAATCGAGTAAAAGTCACAAAATACGAACACCCATTTACTCACGAGTTCACTCGTACCAAAAATATCCAAATCCGATGTCTAAATCCCAATCAAAACTCAGAATTATTAGTTGAAGAACGTTTCCCATTTTTCCTAAATTTTCAATCCAAACCCGAAATGTAATGAAGAAAACAACTATAGATAAATGAAATGCAACCAAAAACGAGTTAGAATTCGTTACCCCAAAGCTCTCTCTGAAAATCCCTCGAAAAATTGCCAATTCCCGAGCTTCCAAGTCCAAAAATGAAGAAATGAATCAAACCCTCGATTTGGCCCCTTTTCTGCCAGTTAAACCGCATCTGCGGACCTGGCTTCGCACATGCATCACCGCACCTGCGGAATTACCATTGCAGGTGCGGATTCCACTCAAAACTCAGTGTCCGCTTATACAATCTAAGGGTCGCACCTGCAGACCCATATCCGATTCTGCGGTCCTTCACCGCTCCTGCGATTGCTCCATCGCATATGCGGGCATCGCAGATGCGGAATTTACCTCGCACCTGCGACCCCTAGAACTCCCTCAGTTTTTCGCTTCTGCGCTTGCCTCTCCACACGTACTATCCCGCACCTGTAGTCTCTCCACCGCTGGTGCGAAAATACCAGATGCCTGAAGACTTCAACAATAACACAAATTCAACTTTTGATCCGTTAAGCACCCGAAACTCACCCGAGGCCCCCAGGACCTCAACCAAACATACCAACCAATCCTAAAACACCATACGAACTTAGTCGAGCCCTTAAATCACATCAACTAATGCTAAAATCACGAATCACCCTCCAATTCAAACTTAAAGAACTTGAAACTTCAAATTCGTACAACCGATGCCGAAACTTATCAAACCACGTCCGAATGACCTCAAATTTTGCAAACACGTCATATTCAACATTAAGGACCTACTTCAACTTCCAGAATCGGATTCCGACCCCGATATCAAAAAGTCCACTACGGGTCAAAAAT